TGGCTTAATGTGTATGCCGTAGTAAATTCAATCACAAACACGTTCAATGCCATTTTGATGTTGTGAAAAGTGACAAACATTTGGAATGTGAACAAACATCATAATCTTACATTTTAAGGATCCCTGTACCACTGCCAAAAACTACTGTAACAATGCATTAGATTGTTTTTTCTCTTATTTTGAAAAAAAATATTTCTGACAAGAAAACATTATCTTGCAAAAACGTTTATGAAGAGATAATAAAGATGAAATAATAAAAAAACAAAAATCACAAGTGTTCTTTGAGTAAAAATGCATTAAGGCCTTACCAGACTTCAAATCAACAGAAGTACTCTGGCTTAGTCTTAATACCTGTATATCCAAAATGAAAACTAATGTGGAAATCTAGGTTACATGCACTGGGACAGGTATCCTTAAGTTAGTGGCATATTGGTTTCAATAGGCTTTTTTTAACATTTGGTATATTTTTCAAAGTCCATAATCTAAATAAAGTGTACCAAAAGAAAATAAAAAAATTATGAAGTGTGAAAGTAACTTGGACGGAGACTAATAAAATGTTCTTGCTTTTCAAATGTTCTTGCTTTTCTTTTTAATAGCAGTAACTGATCTACTACAGGCGGTTAGCAATTATTTTTTTTTCTCAATTTTTTCTTTACCTTCATGAACAGAATCACACCACATCAATATGAATTTAATCTTATAACATTACATAAAGCATCACCAACAAAATTAATATTCCACAGAATAAACAGGTTGAAAAAATGTACAGAAAAAAAAATGCACACACCTTATAATTATTTCATCTTGCGAACCTTTATACATGTACATATGATTACTGTCATACAATCAAACACAGTTCTATAGTTTCTTCACCAATTCAATCACAACCATAACAAAATAATATCCTGTACTTGAAAAATCTGTAAACTTCAGCACTCATAAAACAGTCTGACAATTAACAGACCATTTCACCAAGGGCTTGATTCAAAATCAGATATCCTTTCTAATAAAAGACTTTTATTACATTTTGCTAGTGAAATATATAGTGGTAATGGCTAATATAAGAAAGGTGTAAGTATTTTAGTGTGAAAAACAGTAAGTTTTATTGTGATATCCCATTATACAGAAGTGAATTTAATTACAATATTGTAATCGAATGACCCATCATGATGTTTTTGGAAGCTCCAGTTGTGATATGTTCTAATTTAATAGTACACTCGTTGAAGATTCCTCGTATTTTAATAAATACCAGGTTATTGTTGCTCCCAGGATAATTTACCGGTACTTCAGTCGTATATTCACATTAAAAAACCCAGGTATCCACAAATTTGAATTCTGCAGAAACAATAATTATCTGCCATCTACTTCACTGTGTAGAGGCTCAACAAATTTTTGACCTGAGTAACACCTGGTGGCTTAAGATAGAGGGGTTAAAACACTGAATTTCACTTGGTACAATGTTTGTAACTCCACCTGTCTGTGATAACATTTCAATATAATATATCACAAGGGGTGTGAAATGAATTTTATGATTGTAAAGAAATCTACAAATCAACAAAGTATGAGATCTGATTTTCTGGAGAGACGGGACAAAGTTGACGGTAAAAACAACAAACATTTCACTGTTACGTTATACAGAATGGAAGCATACACAGCACCATCAACAAATCAATATAAAATTTTAAACAATAACATGTAATAAAATGGATTTCTGAATTCAACAAAAGTGCAATATTCTGTATTATATTGATATAAGCCTACTTTTAGAGACCATTTGTCTAAATATATATACCTAAACTACCTGTTCAAATATATAAATGTATACTTAACTCATTCACCCCTGAAATTTCCAATGAACAATTCCAACCTTTGAATTGGAGAAGTTCAAATGTGTATTCAGGGGTGAATGAGTTAAACTACCCGTCAAAATACATACCTGGCTACCCCCTGTCTAAATATATTTAAACTACCTGTCTAAATATATACCTGCCTACCACCTGTCTAAATACAGTAAAACCTCACTATAATGTCCCTCCTTTCATTTGCCACCTTATTTACTGCCAACATATTTCTATGTCTCCTCTTTTTGTTTTAGTAAGAATTCCTTAATACATTTCCCCAAATTTATCACCAAACTCTTTTATAACGCCAACATTTCCCTGGACAAATGGTGGCAGTATAACAAGGTTTTACTGTATATACTTAAATGAACTGTCTAAATAAACATGTAACAACCAACTTCACAATTTATTTTTGGAAACCTGCCTTTAAAGACCAACAGTCATCAAAGACATCTTTAACAATCTCCTGTAAATGGTCCTTATGGACAGGTTTATCTGTAAAATTTTACTAATTTGTATTAATTTGCTAGAAAAGATGTTAAAAAATACTTGAAATGAGATATTGCTTTCATTTCATGTGCATTATGTTATTCCAAGGCTGCAGAACTAAGCACACATTTCTAAATGAAAATATAAAGAACTTTCAAACATAAAACTTTCAAACAAAGACTACAATCTACAATAAAGTCAATCACAGAAATAATATGGGACAAAACAAGTTGAATGTACATGTAGTTGTAAAGGACAAGAAGATATCCGAGTATATAAACATCATTAATATTTCTCCAAACCTCCAGAATACAGATTCAAACTCCCTTCATGGATACACCACATAAAGCATAAAGCGTTATGCATTACAAAAAAAATCACCAAAAGGCCAAGATAAAAAATACATGTTTCCAGTTGTTCTAAATATGTAACTCATATAAAATGTGTCCAAAAACACCCTTTTAGCAATTTTGAACAAGCACTAACTCTATGTAAGAAATTACTATCTTAGGGAACAAATTTAATATCAAACTACCAATTTGATGAAAACTTACCGAAGGAAACATGAATTTTTTAACCTAGCCAGTACAGTATAACCTTAACCAACAACTCACATCCAATGATCCTCATATCATGGGCCATATTCAGGAAACCACTCTAACGCTCAAGCATAAACTCTGTGCTCAAATAATATTCCTTGTTATTTGCTGAAAACAAGTGATACAGACAAAACAAAAATCAAGTCGCTAAAAACAGCTTTCGGTTTCGTATTTGATCCCAAATTCTCTACCGAATAAATGCAGAAAAACAAATTCGTAATGCTCACAGGAACAAGGAATGCCGTGCGTAGGCACAGAAAATAAGTCTGACCATGAAAAATGTTTTCATGAATAATGGCCCAAGACAATGCGAACTCCACATGCAGTATTCTATAGTTATATGTGTGTTTATCACTGACAAATGATATATTAAATATAGTAACAGTATGACAAGATGAAAGTTAACACTTCAGTATTTTACCACCTCCAAGGCTATTCATTGGTCACATTTGACCTTGTAACACAAGGAACTATGAAACTTAGATGGGTGAAATGTTTTATAAGAAACAGGTCAAAAAAAGAAAGTCCCCAAAACGAATCTAACATCAATTAAATGATATAATGGTAGTATTGTTTAGCAAAGGTACTTGAACTTACAGCAATGATGCAACAAGATGGAAATAAATCGGTCTTTTCAAAGATATTATATGGACCAATTAACAAACACAAGACAACAATCTTTGGGATTTTATATAACCAGAATTTACCTTCTGATTATGTAACAGCTATGATTAATTTTTCAATGTTCCATTACATTATATTTTACAATGTTTGACTACAAAGTATAATTACAACATAAACATCATCAATGATATAAATTTCTTGCCATTTTCAATACTATCCAACTAAATGTTCCTTCCTTTAGATTGCTTGGATCCTATCAGGCTGAACATAGCACATCACACCTGGATTTCAGTCCATTCAGATCTGTCTTGTTTTTAAATGTCACCAACAATTTGTGCTAACCTTGGACTAATGCATTCTGGGATAAAGTATTCTGGTCTGTTGTTCAGATGTTCTCCTCATAAACAAAAATGTTTGAATAAAACTCAGTTGCTTTAATGGCAAAGCAGGACAAAACTATTTCAACGTAATGGCAAGATATTGTGTGTCACTATGGCTGTTCATAAAGGTCTACATGCCATTGTCCAATGATCTCCATAGTATCAGAAAAAGAGAGACCAAGAGGGTTGAAAGTTATGTGGGTGTCCATTTTTTCTTGTCAGTGGGTTCGAGGTTATTGGGTGTCTGCTGAAGTCATAATTTGTCAGTGGGTTGGAGGTTATTTGGATGTCCGCTCAAGTCATTGTTTGTCAGTGGGTTGGAGGTTATTTGGATGTCCGCTCAAGTCATTGTTTGTCAGTGGGTTGGAGGTTATTGCGATGCTACTCCTCAACGGCTACATCATGGAATGTAAAGAGGAAAAGAGAAGGCCACATCTGGAAAAACAAAAGAAATAGTTTCATATATATATTCTTCTTTGTATACTGGAGTTTCATTGATCATACACACTAAAATTATGCTAAAATATCATGGATGTCCCAGTAAAATGATATTTGTTTATTTGGTAATCAATTCATCAGAAAAATGGGGTTTACATGACCTTTGAAATTAAACAGTGACTTTGAAAATGAAAGCAGACACTTGAAAATTGTATGATATACTGCTTAATTGTAAGGAAAGCCATTTTTTCAATGAAACAGTGAAAGAGTCAAACAGGCTATATTTGTGTTTCAGTACACTCATAAATGTTGATTTATTCCTATATTGAAAATGGACATCGTTTATGCTTCATGAATCAAAGGCACATACTCAAGTGAAAGTACAATGTAGTATTTAAATACAAAGTTACAAACTACATCTATATTTTGAATCACATTTGAAATGTAGAATCTGTCAACATAACATACATTACACGTAACAACTAACAGTAGCACTAGAACTGCGGACAAGGAGTCAATACTTGGTCAAATTGTATCAGGTATATTTTTACCTTCATTTTCAACTAGTATTGCCACAATAAATCTGTTATCAGAATACCTACTTGGGATGAGTTTAATTTTCTGAAATGTTATTTATGTCTGTCATTCATTTCAAAAACTGTCATGTCCTCATCTTCGTCATCCGCATCTAATGGTGCCATTTCCAGATCTGATCCTCGTGTTGTGATAAGTCCATACTTTCTAGACTTTGATCTCCGTCCTCTTATTCTGAAAGGAAATGAAAATTTCATGAGACCTACATCAAGATAAGCTCAAGCTAGTCTGTCTTCCATCTTTTAACATAGTATGGATTTTGTTATAAAGAAAATCATGTGATGGAGTTGACACATATCTTCTTGCTTTGCTCATGATCAGTTACCTCCTATTTAGTATGTACCTTTTTATAATCAATTATTAACCCCAGGTTGAAATTTTACAGCTTTATATAACAGCTAATTAGGTCATATGAAGCCTTTTGCTTCCCGGCCTTTAGGGCCTTGTCTACTGTTAAGCTGCAAGTGATTTCTTTTTCTCTCAGATGTATGACAACTGGCCTGTGCTATTATTTTTTTTTACCATAAGCAGTTAATAGTAAATACTGCTTTAACATTTTGTTGATAGATTATATATATAATTATATGGCATATGATTTGATACAGTGGCCTTTATGCCTAGAATAATTCATACAATTTATACAATACAAGGTCCTCTAAAGAGCTGCCTTTTTGTCCTATGCCACCTTGCTAATACCCCCACATGTCTTTCAACTCTTAGTGGAACAGTGCTTTGTATAGCATCTTTTTTCACATTGCCACCTTACTTGAATGTTACACATGTACAAAACACTATAGCATGGTAACACCCAATCCAGACCATTTTATATTCCACTTGGGTTTACTGGGAGTCAATAGGGCAGGAAACAAAATTTTCTCTGAAAACTCCATGTTTTTCGGTAATAAACGTAAAATAAAAGTATATATATATATATTTCTGCTGAAAACTTTTTGTAAGTTTTACTGGCTGATTTTAACTCCCGTGTTATGTTTATGATTCAATTAATTTGTCTGACACTTTAAATAAATGAATTATTATGACATTTATAAGGATATTTATTACAGCTTACAAAATGTACATCTAATGGAGTCCATTTTTGAAATTTATAAATCTGTTTCAGCTGAAAATGACATAAACCTTAGTCCTAAAAGGAAATGAGCTTGGATTCTTATTATATGGAGTACAGAAAATTAGCAAGACAAGGTTATTGGCTCAGGGCTAGACAATAATGGTAGCCCATTAGTCTCAGACTAGTGAAATGTCTGGCTTGGCTAGTGGTTTTAGAATTCGAAACTGCTAGCCCAATTGTGACCAGTCAAAATTTGATATTATTATGACCATGTTAATAACATTTGGTAAGTAAAATTGGAAAATACAAACCCAACTTGTAACTTGTGATTTTTGAAATAAATTTCTAGCCCTGTGGCACATTAAAATCTAAAGTTGCTCTGAAGTTGTTGAAACCTCTGGGGCATAATTGATTTTTACTACAATCAGTTTGTTATTTGATTTGGTTAAGTGTCGGTGACCAGAGGGAGATTTTACTTTTACCGGTAGTAGATAGATTGAAATCATAAAAGTCAATGGTCACATTGCCTACTGCTAGATTGAGCCCTTGAATATGTCTACACATACGTCACAATTAATGACATTAGGCCATATATTTTAAAAGGCACAAAATGGCTTTATTATGTAGATTCTTAATGGGTAATGCTTACCAAACAAGAACCCATTTAGCCACTGGTCCATTAACACAAGCTAGTGAATTTTGCTGAACATGCATGTATGTGACCCAGTTCATTTTACAATCAGTGTCTTTCTTCAGAAAATGAATTACACCATCGAAGTTCAGGAAGGCTCTTAATTCAAAGATTTTTTTTAAATTTTAAAATGCACAAGAAGATATGAGAAAAGATGCTTATATACATTTAGTCTAATATCACACTAAAATGAAATGGATGCTGCAGTTATCACCTCTAGAGGATTAGTATAAATTAAAATAATGTACATACCTAATGTTTCTGTTATCATTAGTTTATAGGTTGAAGGTCAAGGTCATTGCTACATTGCATTACATTCTGATTATATTATGACGTACCACACAAAGGTGTTTGTGCAAGAAATCAAACCATGCATGACAAGTTGTCAACACTGATCTAGTCTGTGTCATGGGATTAGTATTGTTTAGTGAAACTTTGTTTTGTTTTAATCCTAACTTCAAAACAGTTAACTATGATGCAGAATGCTTTGTCAATAATAACTTATTTTCAATGAATAGTAGCTGACACTGGAGATAATTGAAAGAGTTTCTTTGGAGGATTGGAATCTAATCTGAGTTGCATGAGTAACTTGATGTAGTAAAGCTGGGTATTTCACTCAGTGATGGGAAGGGATGTGGTTTTGGTTACCCCAGGTAGATCTTTTTTGTTGTCATTACTCATATATATATATGTGATATCACTTAGAAGAGAGACTATTCAATGATATATAAAATATGTATTCTTCCCTTGATGGGATTTTGTATCCATAGAGGAGAATAAATGCTTACCCGTTACATTTGTATAATTTAGTACATGTATTTGTCTGTCAGGACATATATGCAAAACTGTTTTGTTTGAAGTTGATGTAAAAAATAAGATATAAAGGCGTTGGACATGGCAATTAAATATTGGTATCTCAACTTCTACTTTAATATCTAATATCACTTTTGGGGGAATTGGACCATAACATTTGTGGTTATATATACATGTACAGATTTGGGTGATAGGAATGTTTTTTAATAACATGTGACACAATGAGATCTGTAGAACAGGATGTGGACAGTCAACCTCTGGCACACTGTAAAAAGTTTGTAAGTCACTTCTAAATTTGATACAATGCGGAATGTAACAAATAAGTGATTTCTGATTTGGGGAAAGGGAATTAATTAAGTAGATACAGGAATTAATACACAGAGCTCTATTGCATTGTATGGTTTGTCTTTTTCAACTTTAATTTATTATTTAGTTCAAAATCTGACTTTGGCCATAATTGGCATATTTAAGCTGGCCTTTATTAGTTAATGACAGTTATTACCATCATTAATTGTGTTAATTGAATGTATAGATTGGTGAATGGTCTATGGATTGTAAAAATTTCCCATCAAATGAATGTATATTTCATAATTTAAAATTATTATTACTTGATATTTAATTACTGTTGTGTGCAATATTGATAATTAAGTAGACATTTAAACTGAATTTAATGGCTATCTGTAACAGGTCTAATAAAATGCTGAACTTATTTCTGTCCATGTTATTTGTCACCAGTCCTTGTAGGCATATTTAGAAAATCTGAAGACAGAATGAGTAGATTTTTGTTGTCAGCACCTCAAAACTTTCCGAGACCAAACAGTGTCAGAGAATTCCAAGTTTTCATATATATAGTAGTGTATATGTGCTCTGGCCTAACACCAGACATCTATCTGTCAAAAGTCTGGAGTCAGGACCAGAGAAAACTAGGATATGTATTGCTGAAATCCAGTTCCTGGCATCAGAAGCACTTAAAAGCATCTTCTGATGTTGCTTAGGCCAGATAAAAATATATATGTGCTTACTGTTAGAAAATTTAGAGTAGATAGGTAACAAATTTTATTTCAAAAAATAATTTTACATATATAGCCTTTTTTTATAGGAGAGTAATCTTGACTTAACAGTACATGTTGACTTTTATATTAAATCATCAAAATGTTTTGTTACTTAGTTATAATGCTAGATAAATTCCAAATTAATATTCATGTATTGTTATTATTATTCAGGCAAGTTTTGTCCCTTAAAAAATGAGTATTAGACATAAGCTGGTGTGGGTGTGCATGTGTGTGAGAGGAAAACGAATTACAACATTTTATATATTTAAGCATTATACATAGCTACCGGAAAAAGAAGAAGACTGATATGGGCATAGCTAGCCTGTTGTCTAATTCCTTTGTCAATACTGTTCTTATATCTTCTTTAATGTTAACTTATATGTTTGTATTATATATGTATTGTCAATAAAATACTTTTGAAACAGTGCTTCTATGAAAATGGCCTTAAAAAGTTCAGGGTTCAGGGTAGGCGCAAAAAATTAGGGTAAGTAGGGTTACCGGAAACACCAACTACATTATTCAGTATTTTTTAAGATTTTGTCCATGGCAACGCTCGTTGGCTGCAGACGTTTTTCAAAATTTAAGTATGACTCCCTGGTATTATTGCAAGGTAATCAGAGAGTCAGCGTACATGCTCCTCCACCTTAATTACCTACTTGTAAGGATTGTGTAGCTTACAGATGGTGGAAAATTTCCCTTTCCTGATCGTTAATCATCTGACAAGAATTGAGCTCATTTGATCCCTGTCGAAAGCATTTTTTAATTCCCCTACTTCCTTCCTATTACTCAGGATATCAGCTTGCTTTCATTTTCCTAACTTCCTCGCACAAACATGCTATAATTAAAACTGTAAGTACATGGTGATACTGTACACCTTTAAACAGGTTGGACACAACAGTGCATATCGGTAATAATCCTGCATTTGGGTAGCTGCGATAACGTAGCTTTCTGACGACGAGATATTTTTTTTTACATGTTGTGTGTGTTTTTATTTCACTTTATTCCCCATTTCATTAATAAACAGATAAAAGTGTTACTCAAATGGGTAACTGTTCCCCAAATTCAGGATTATTAACCATATGGATGATATGCACCGTTGTGCCCGACCTGTTAAACACATGAATATAATAAAGTATTTGAAGAATAAAGACTTCAAAAAAAACCCATTGTCATTTACATATCCACTGACACTCACCTCCACGCACGGAAAACGAAGTACAGAATCACCACAGAGGTTACTCCTATGAGCACGTACAATGTTCTCAACAACATGTCCTTATTTTCCACAATTGTACCAAAGAAGCCATCGTCATTCGGGTCGGTACCGTTAGATGTGGAATTGTCTTTAGAAACTTCAGGCTTCACCGTTTCAGTAGTCGACTTTTTAGTACTGTCCCGTTTGTTAATGTCCACGTCACTGTCATCATTTGAAGCTGACGCAGCTTGGTTTTGTACAACCACCAAACACACAAACAGCACCAATACGATTAAAACATGCCTTCTGAAATCCATGATTTCCCATATGTCTTCAAATATTCCAAAATATGTTACTTATCTGCTAAAACAACGAACGGTCCTCATTTCACTCCATGTTATACGATCGGAGTACCTCTAGATAAACTATTCAAATGAAAGAAATGATAAGAGAATACCCGAAAGAAGCGTGAATGGGGGGAAAAGTATACCTAAATTTTGTCCAGATTATTTACAGTATAGAAGACAATATTTGCGCAAAATTTGCACACTTACTTCAATCGTAATGATAATATTTAAATACTCTTCATGATTTTTATTACAGTTTATCATTCACATCAATCATGAAAATCCTTTAAGGAAACATGTATCCGGATATATTTATATGGGTAATAAAAAAATGTCAGCACAAAGTCAAAATCATGTGATATTTACGACATACGTCTGATAAATCTTCAGAATTTTGAATTTGTTAATGATGTAGGTGATATAAAAATGTATAATAAATATTCTCTGTTGCTTTTTTAAATATTTAACAATAATGACTGAATAATTGAATACATTTACTACATTGATCGTTTTACGTTACCGTCAATATGGCGGGAGATTACAAACCGAAAACGTAAACAACAACAGGGATGGTCGAATGAGAAGGCGTGCTACGTTTAATTATCCATAACTGAAGTTTTGGGATATACAGAAGGTTAATTTGTGTTCATTTATATTTTGTTATGCCCCCAGTCATATATAGGCGGGAGGAGGGGGAGGCGCGCCGTCCCCGTCAAACATCAAACACTGAAACTAATTTCACATGGTGACGGGGGGCATTCATGTCATGCATTACTCCCATAACATGAGAGGTCGCTGGTCGGCCTTTTTTCTTTCGGATATGATTTTGCCGCATGTCAAAAGTTTTTCGCCGTCTAAAACCTCTAACATTGTTGGAGTAGTCATGCATGTACTATCGAACTTAATAAAGGTAGAAGTCCAAACAGTACAGAAACCAACAACAAAAAAATCGACGAAGTTCTGCTTAATATTGGAAACCACCATGCCACACACATACTGGTAGTTGGTGACTTCAACTACAAAGAAATTGACTGGGAGAACATGACTACTAATATAGTAGGCGACAACCACCCAGCCAGCAAGTTTGTAGAAACTATCATGGACAACTATTGGTACCAACATGTTAATGAGCCTACAAGATGTCGTGACAAGGAAACCCCATCGACTTTAGACTTAATATTCACTAATGAAGAGAATATGGTTAACAACATGCAATACAAGGAGAGTCTTGGAAAAAGTGACCATGTTATTTTAACATTCAGTTCATATAGTTCATATAGCGATGACGCCAATTGAAAGCAGTGAGCTTCCTTGTGGCACGTTTGAATATATGTTAAAATACTTGTTAAAAACACTTTTCACTTCCGGTGTATAGATAAACCTTCTAATGTCAGGAATAACAACTTGTGCGGAATTTTGTTTGGTGATCCGACCAGAATTTATTCAGTCTGTTCTTAAAAGTGTCCACAGTTGGAGAATTGACCACATTATCGGGTAGACTGTTCCACACCTCTACAACTCTATTGCTAAAGAGGTTACTATATATGGCCTTATTTGTTCTCCTCTTGAACAGCTTTCTGAATTTCCTCGTGTTCCAACCGGGTGCCCTCTTATAAACATTTTGTCCTATATCTACAATGTCAATTTCCTCCATAATTTTGAATAATTCGATCACATCCGCTCTGATACGTCTGTATTCTAGCGTTGGAAACCCTAACTTAAGCAGTCTTTCGGGGTAGCTCAGGTCTTTGAGACATGTTTAAGAACAGACTGAATAAATTCTGGTCGGATCACCCAACAAAATTCAGCGCAAGTTGTTATTCCTGACATTAGTATAGGTCTATATTTACATTTGTTGATGTTCAGTTTCACGAGCCAAATGTTAGTCCAAATGCATACAGAGTCCAGATCCTTCTGTAGGCTATCATGATCCGAGTCACCTCCAACTTTCCTGTATATTTTGGAGTCGTCTGCAAATAGTTTGGTTGAGCTACATTCGATTATGTTTGTAACCTAAACACCTCAAGCGGACAAACACCAAAAACTAATAGGAAGAACTTGTACAAAGGTGATTATCCCAATATCAACACCGAAATCCTCAAGCTTGACCTGACCGACATTGAACATAAACAGGACGTGAACGAGGCGTGGAATTCTCTTACTGTATCCCTCAATAACATTATTGAAAAATTCATACCCGAGAGTAAGGGAGTAACTCCACAGCCTCAGAGCCTCTAGTATATCATGTCTGGACCAAACTGCCTGTGAAGCAAGAAAGGAAAGAGCGCGGAAGTGGACTAAATACCTTCACTGTAAAACACCTATAAACTTTGAAAACTATAAACCTGCTAGGAATAGATACATCATGTTATTAAGGAAATCAACCGACAACTACGAAAAAGACCTGTCTACGAAAATCAAGACTAACCCAAAACTCTTCTGGAAACATGTCAAGAACAAAACCCAAACCAAGACAACAACTGTACAACGAGTAGTTAAAAACAATGGAGAACTGACAGAAAATAGTAGAGACACTGCAAATGTACTGAATGAATTCTTCTCCAGTGTATTTGTTCATGATGACAACAGATCGCCACCAGAACTAAGGGAGAGAACCCACGAAAATTTACTGGAATCCATAGAACTGACGCAAGAAAAAGTTATTACGGCCATAAGATCAACTGACCCCAACAAAGCTCCTGGACCCGACAACCTACACCCAAAATTCATTGTTGAAACGTGATGCAATAGCCAAACCACTACAAATCGTAAATTCAAAAAGTCATTTGATAGATGAGGGTGCATTGCCTAAAGATTGGACGGAAGCGAATGTTACACCAATATTTAAAAAGGGTACCAAAACCATCCTAGGAAACTATCGCCCAATCAGTCTTACCTCGGTTCCATGCAAAATTCTGCAAAAAAATATCCAAAACGAACTAATGGCTTACCTGGAAGGAAACGAAATATTTACCAAACACCAACATGGCTTCCGTCCAGGAAAATCATGCACCACCCAACTATTAGAAATCCTGGAAGAATGGAACAAGACACTTGATGAGGGGAAAAACATTGACGTAATCTACCTGGATTTTAGCAAAGCCTTTGACAAAGTGTATCATAGGCTCCTAATCTACAAACTGGAAAAATGTGGGATCAAAGGACAAATCTTAAACTGGATTAGAGCATTCCTGACAGGACTATCCCAACAAGTCATAATCAATGGAACTCCCTCAAAGAGTCTGCCAGTACTAAGCGGGGTCCCACAAGGGAGTGTACTCGGGCCAATTCTGTTCTTGATAATATCTCAATGACATGCCAGATGTATTGGAGTGTACTACAAAACTATTCGCGGACGACGCCAAAATATCAGCTAATAATTCAACCCCAGAAAATCGAGCTAGACTGCAACAGTGTATCGACAAAATGTGCCAATGGACAGAAAATTAGATGATGAAGCTGAATGTGGACAAATGCAAGCATATAGAAATTGGACAAAAACCCATGTCATCCAACTACTCGCTGACGCAGTACGGAAACACCATCAAAATCACTAAGGTGAATAGTGAAAAAGATCTGGGAGTTCACATCGACGACCTAAAAGCAGCCAGCAAAGCAAACCAAATTGCAGGAACAGTTTTCAGTTTTACATATATGAGCCCAACCGTATTTGTAACACTCTATGTGGTGGGTATCATTTCAAATTTTTAGAAGAAACTACATAGTTTGAGGTTGTTTTTTATGCAAACTCTACAACGGAAGGGCTCAACCCTTTTATCTACATGTGAATGTGAACAAACGAGTGGAATTGTTTTAAATTTTTAAATCCCATTATTACCATAGACATCGCTACACTATTATGATTAAGGAAATAATAAGTGCGCAACTGGAAAAGTAAGTCGCGAGTGAAGAAATAACAATGATGCATCACCACAAGCTTGAACTAGCTTTCAACGATGCCACATCAGCAATTCAACAGACAATTTTACAAATTTTTTGGGGATGGCTTTTTTTACCAAAAGTTTATCTAAATGTGTAAAATTACTCTGAACTGTGAACACCCTAGTTTAGGTCCAAATATATAGCTGTAACAAATTATTCTCATGTCCCTGTGCTCGCACCTACACTCACCAAATTGATCACCATATACTCAAGGAAGTGGAACAGAATCCATTCTTAGGCATTTTTTCACAACTCCATGAAGATACTAGTATAATAAACAAATATAAAATAGTATGTGACCAAGTGACAAATGTGTAAATTTTTTTTAACCATATGACATTGAGTAATGGAATATAGAATAGAAATTGTGCAGTGTGGCACTAAATAAAGTACCCAATCCGGATAAGGGGGTCAAGAAGCAGATATGCTTAAAAAAGACTGGACAGGTAAAAACCGGTAAATAGACAGGATCATCAACTTGTTGTTTCATAAAATTGTGAAAGGGCTACTTATAATTAATTGCTATACATGTAAACCAAGCGCTAGCCTTGTCAACATTTTAACCAGATAAAAAACCCAGGGAAATTAGCTTTAGGTTGTTTCATTGTAAGACTGATGTTTTCAAAAGTCATTTCCACTTAACGTCACTGACTGGAACAACTTCTCTGACAGTATCTGACAAATAAACCTTAGACACTTTAATCAATAATTTAACAACAATATAAATGTTATGCACATTTCTCCAACCCCAGAATCATATCAGAATCAAGGTCTTCCAGTGTAATATAGATATACAACAAGACATGCACCTTATTCAAGAAAAACTTCAAGAAAAACTGAATCTTAAAGCCACTGTGTCTGCCATCATTTGTAACACCCGTTTAGACCACATTGCTAGTTTTTCCTACTCATTTTCATACAGCAGAGATATCAGCCGAGCGTACCAAGGGTTATAAGCTGCAGAGAGTACCCCTCCATTTCTTTTAGGAGAGGTTATACCATTTTTGTAGAATAAAACATTTCAAAGAAATTAAAGATGCTGCTTAATTTAAAAAAATAGATTATATGTATACAGAGGTTAACATGTGAACACTTCCAGGCATATGATGTATATTTTAAGGCTAAATGCATGTACATGTAGTGTTAGGTAAAAGATGATAAAAGAAATTAAGAATAAGTGGCAATCTTGCTTACAGCTAAAGTAAAACTAGCTGTAATAGTCATGGGATTCATAGCTGTTAGATGAAGCATCTTTTGGGCAAAGTCACAGGTTTTAGTTCGATATGTGACAGGTCACTAAAAAGCAAATGCCCAAGATACAAGAAACTGTACATGTAGTTCTACTGCTTGATCACATCTCATTATAGTGCAATCTGAATTGTTTGATTTATTTATCAATTTTCGATCAATTTTGTTGTAAGAATTTATTTTAAAGCAGATTCACTCTTGATAAAAGTTTATAGATGAACATTTTATATTTGCAGTAAATTTCATATTAACATAGCTCCAATGTCCATTTTCTATATTTCTACAATTTTAACAAATCAAATATCTACCAACAACATAACATGGGGTAACATTTATTTTTTGTAATGCTGCATTTGGTAATATTTGTATCTTTTATATTTGCATTTCAAGGTTTGACAGTTTACAACAAGATCCCAACATGTGACTGTCTGTGATGAAGAAGGGTGTATGGATAAAGATATAACAGACTTTTTGGAAAAATCTCAGTTGTATGGCTTCAAATCAACACAACACAGTGTAATGAACTTTTGTATAATCTTCTGTCATCAATTTTATTAAATGCATACTATACAGAGGCAACAATTGGATCAAGTGTTAGTCAGGAGCCTGACTTTGGTCATATATATTATATATATAGAATATAATATTAGTAATTATAGTTTTGAAATTGAAATCTAGAAAATGCCTTGTTCCTATAATAGCTGTATGATTATGGATTTACTGTGGAAGGGGAACAATTTAGTCTTAATGAGAAGGGCGTACTTGACTCTTTAATTCAGCTCAAGATAAGTCTACGTAATAATAACATCATATTTCATTCCTTTCGCTATGCTAATGAAAATCCTTAATCAATATACTATGTTTACAGCATATTCAATGGCTTGAGAGTGTGTATAGAGTGTGGAGGCCTGTGGCTGCGGAGGCTGGGGTCGCTGTAGAGGATGTACTGGGTACAGTGGTGGAGGTCTGTCAGGATGTGGATACCCTGGTACAGTGTCTGGGGGTAGACTTGGCCTGGTGTAGGGGACAGGACAGGGCCTTCCATAGCCAGCTCACAGCTCCACTCGCCACACCACCCACAGCTGGAGATGGCCGAGTCTCGGAGGAGACATTAAAAAACAAAAGGTTTGCTAGAATAATTGATGTTTTGTTGTCTTAACAAAAGGATGCACATTTACATGTTTTTATTATAGAAGGTTAGCAGTACATGTAATAAATCTTGAGACAAAGAGTCGGATCATTTCAAAAACTTAACAACACATTTCTTTTTCCAGTGTATTTTCACAATTATCTAAATTCATCAATGAAAATGTAATAGTTCTTTTGTGAGGATTCAAATTACTGGTAGCATCTGATTGATGACTAAAAATAGAATGTTTGCCTCTGATGTTGATAATTATTTCTTAAAATATGAGAGTTGAAAATATGACTTACTGGCCATGGTGTTAAACAACTTGCTGGGTAAATCAGGCTGGAATAAGCAATGCTTGTCAATAAGAGAATACTGATCGTCATTAGGCTTAATACTTGATCAGTAATGGCTTTGTGTTATGTATTATTATATAATGAAAGTTTTTTTGCTGTTTTAGAAATGTCTGAGCATGAAAGGAATGTCATGTTTGAATGTCGTGATTGACAGCAACATGTTTTTATTACGCTGCAGGTGCATTTTAGTTGGACGGTTGACAACAGCCTTACCAGATCAGCCAGGAGAGCTAGTCATATCGGACTCAACATCTTCTCTCCCTGTTGAGGTAAAACGGATCATTCTGTTTTTCTTACATGTTTCATTTAATAATTTAAAAAAAAGAATCCTTCTTTTCATTTATATCTTATAAAAAGTAGTGTTTAAATGAAACGAGGAACTTTAAAGTTTTAGTATTATCTTCAGTATTATTCAGTTTAATCATTTATGTGGGGTTTTTCCATTAAAATGTTCTGTGTATTAAAAAAACCCCACAAATTTTAAGAAGAACTTTGTTCAGAAATTCAATAGACAAACAGGCAAAAATAGATTGAACATCTTATAAATGTTACACCTGTGTGTGTCATTGTTTTGATTAATCACCTGTTTGTGTTATTATTTTGATTAAATGATTATCATTAAATAGGTGAGACACTCTGACTGTGATGAGTTGCTGGGATTGTTAGATCAGTGGGCAGTGTTCCCGTCCTGGAACCTCATCATTATAAAGAGAGGTAGTCAAAAACCTAAAACGTATTATAAGGGAAATATTTTGAACATGTTTCGAAATATTGGTAACATTCAATATAAGTTTTGTGTTCACAGTGAGAGACAGTCAGCCAGATGATATTTTTTAGCAATCATTATGTAGTTTGTTGAACTGTGAAACTTTAACAAATAGTAATATGCATGCAGTCCTGTTATAGACTTCATTGATTTTAAAAAATTATCTTAGTTATGCCTGAATAAATAAAAACTTGAAAAAAAAATCCATGGGCACCTATTATATCTTCCCTGAAAAAAATGTGGAATAAATAATTAGCAAGAAAACTATTTATTTCATCATCACATTACTTTTAAAAAACATTCGTCTTTATATGTGATGAGGGGAAAGATAATTATATGTGTTGTGCCAGTTTAGGTATTTTGTTCAGAAATTAAAGACGTCATCATGTATTAAATACTGTATTCTTATCACAGGTAAATGTTACCTGGAGTTGTGTGCTAAGCCAGTATTGATGAGATGTGCCTCATATCAACCTCTCCTGTCCAAACAACTCCCAGTCCTCTCTGTAAAAGCTGCATCAACCCTGCTTCTCCACAAGTCAGTATAGTGTGGCTTCAGAAACAATCTAAATGCTATACCCAATGTCTCCACTTGCCGGTAAAGTCTGGCATCAGAACCAAACTAATAGCTGTGCCTGCATGACTTCTCCTCAAGTCAATGAATTAAAACAGAGCATGGACAACTCTGCAGAATCTTGCTTACACAGTGCTTAAATAAATCATCTATATGCAAGATTCTGTTGTGTTGTCCAAGCTCCGTTGAAATTCATTGATGAGCTATTAGCCTGGACTCTGTATACTTCAAGTATTCATGGTGATGAATTGCAATGGATTTTCGACCTAAAGGGACGTTGTGTCTTCACTCTTCTTGAGTGATTCTCTGCAAATCAGTACAGTCTGCCTTCAGTAACAGACTTATTGCTATACCTGACTTCTCCATTTGTCTGTACACTATATACAGAGTTATGGCCCTTTGTAATTTTTTGATCCAGAACCTGCACCAGAGGAAGGGAACTATGGATTGCCTGCTATACTTTGCATTGTTATTGTAGGGACACTATAAAGCCAGGCTGTCTAGACATGGTCACCACTATTGAAGCTGTTGGGGAAATCCACAGGTGCAAATATGTTTTGTTTGTTTAAATTCTTCTTTCTAAATTAATTTTGTTCGTACTTGTATCAAAATAGGTGTAAGCTTATGTTTCAAATTTGGTTAGCTTCAGCAGTGTGGAAAACTATCAAATCACAGATACCTATTGTGAATGAGCAAAAGCATACTTATGATTCAACATACATATATTAGTTTATTAGTTAGTTACTTGTGATCGAATCACTATCCAAAACATTTTGCTACAACCATACTGAGTTTCTTCTATGATGTCATTGAAAGCCATAGCTTCGCAAAAACATCCCATAATACTCAAACTGATATGTATGCAAATATAAGCTAGCTCAAATTTTATGATCGGATGAAAAGCCTAAGAAATTCAGGAATCATGGGATGGAAACTGTTGGAGTTTACTGGAAGGTCTTGTCTGTATTTTACCTACATTTGTAGCTTAAATGATGACTATAACCTTTTTTCCAACAGAGTGAAAACGGATCTACTGTTTTGTATTCGGCTCCCTCACACTGTTAACATCATTGTCAAGGTAAAATATATTGATTGGTATCAGCTCTGTATTTAGTGATTGAATAAAAAGACAACAGTCCTCAGAAAATTCTGATAATTATTAGATGCTGCCTTGTGAAATACTTGGCTACTCCCAAAACTGCAAAGGATTCTAGTAGGTAAAAGGAATAAAGTAAAATCTCAATATAATACCCCTTGTTTCATTTGTCATCTCGCTTACCGCCAACATATTTCAAGGTCCCCTTTTCTCCTTTTTTTCAGAGATCCTTTATATATTTCCCACTATTTATTGCCAAAACACTTTATTACACCAAACTTCCTCGTGGGAAAATGATGACATTATAACAAGAATTTACTGGATTTCACATTGTTCACCTTTGATTCTCTCAGCCTTGTGAATTATTAAGTTGATATTATACCGTAACGAAGGGCAGATAATTGATCGTAGTCTGTACTAACCAGCTGACCTCGTGTGTCTATAGTTACCATCATACTGCACCCTCCTCCTCTCCCCCTCCTTGTAAATTTTATAGACTGTATATTGTTGTGAAATAAATGAAATATATGGTATACTTAACACAATGTTTAGAAACAAACCCCTGTTTTGATTTGATTACAGAAACCAGAGTTTCTATACTGGCAGAAGTTTCTTATACCTGGAAATAAGAAAATATTCACCTCCATGAGAGCTACAACACTAAAGAAGGTATTAACCAGTAAACATTGCTTCATGTTGATCTTCTTCGGCACATTTGAATACAAGACTTCCACTGTCAAATGTAGTGAAGTATAGTTTCACCCTCGACTTCTACCGTTTAATGTAGATAGCATGACTAAAGTAGAGTTCTACTATAAAATGTACAAAGTATGACTATAATTACAAGGTATGACTATAGTCGACTTCTGTCAATTGTAGAAAGTATGACTACAGTAGACTTCTGTCAATTATAGAAAGTATGACTATATTAGATTTCTACTCTCAAATGTAGAAAGTATGACTGTAGTAGACTTCTGTCAATCATAGAAAGTATGACTATAGTAGACTTCTGTCAATTATAGAAAGTATGACTGTAGTCGACTTCTGTCATTCATAGAAAGTATGACTATAGTCGACTTCTGTCATTCATAGAAAGTATGACTGTAGTCGACTTCTGTCATTCATAGAAAGTATGACTATAGTAGACTTCTGTCAATCATAGAAAGTATGACTATAGTAGACTTCTGTCAATCATAGAAAGTATGACTATAGTAGACTTCTGTCAATCATAGAAAGTATGACTATAGTAGACTTCTGTCAATTATAGAAAGTATGACTATAGTAGACTTCTGTCAAGAATAGAAAGTATGACTATAGTAGACTTCTGTCAATTATAGAAAGTATGACTACAGTAGACTTCTGTCAAGAATAGAAAGTATGACTAAAGTAGACTTCTGTCAATCGTAGAAAGTATGACTGTAGTCGACTTCTGTCAATTATAGCAAGTATGACTATGGTAGACTTCTGTCAATTATAGCAAGTATGACTATGGTAGACTTCTGTCAATTATAGCAAGTATGACTATAGTCGACTTCTGTCATTCATAGAAAGTATGACTGTAGTCGACTTCTGTCAATTATAGCAAGTATGACTATGGTAGACTTCTGTCAATCTTAGAAAGTATGACTACAGTAGACTTCTGTCAATCATAGAAAGTATGGCTATACAGTATAACTTTGATGTATCGCAACCCGTTGTACCGCCAAACTCGCATACCGCCATCAATTTTGTCAGAAACAAGTTCTCCACACTTAAATGAATCTGTTATACCGCCAAACTCTGGTACCGCCATATGCCACAATGCTTTGAGAACAGTCGTTCAAATACCCCTTTGTTGGCCCCTGACAACACACCACCACGCTCACTCGTGAAATTGACCTATATCGGTGATTTTACAGTTGACCCAGCCCTGGGGGGTCAGTTTTAGATGTTGTAATTATGTATAGTATGTGTGTGTAATCAATTTATTAATTTACATCTGAATACAATTTACCATATTACCTCTATCAGTTATTTATTAATTCATTCACATATGGCTTCTCACATGGCTTCTCAAAAAAAGGACACAGGTTGTGAAGATATTCAATTCATTTTACAATTAAACGCCGGACTGTGGATGAAAATTTGACCAACAAGAAATTGATTTAATGATACCAACGGGACAACGCCGTTGTGCTCATAATGCGAATACTGTATTGTTTGCCACGTGACTGTGACGTACCGCATCTGACTATATCCCAGATGAAGGTGCAGATGCGGATTTCAACGATTGTCGTGTAACAACAAGTCCAAACGGACTTGATCTCAATCCCGATTTACGTTTGACTATGAGACAGTTTATCAAAATTATCAGATGCTTGCAACCCACCCAGGTATTATCAGACGATGACATTCTTGAGGTGAAAATATCCCGACGAGACAGACTCTTGACGATATCCGCCTGGGTTGTGGGGACGTGAAACAGGATATTGAGACGGTTCTTTACTTAATCGAACACTTACACTTGACTACAGAGTCTGACGTACAGAAATGATGGCATTTGCAGTAGAGAAATGTGAATATTGGCACCGCTACGCAGACATTACTTGACGATTGTAAGTAAATCTATAAATATGGGCACGTAAAACTGACACTCTCGCTGCAGTACTCGTAAAGTGTATATCTTGCATGTGACACAGTGATCATAATACCAGATCGAAATCAATATTTCCGAACTAATTATTCTTTCAAAATCGGTGTGTATATTAAAAATTGCATATATAATACATGTATATTTGAGTTTTCATTGATAAGTGTTTGATATATGCCCCAAAATAAACAAGCGTTCATCCACCTGTCATTTAACAGAGACAACTCGTTGTACCGCCAAAATGTCTTTTAACGGAAGGTGGCGGTATTTTGGGGTTATACTTTAGTAGCCTTTGCCTGTCAATTGTAAAAAGAATGACTACAATAGACTTTTACTGTCAAATGTAGAAAGTGTGACTATAATATACTTCTTCTGTCATTTATAGAAAGTATGACTATAATATACTTCTTCAGTCATTTATAGAAAGTTTGACTATAATATACTTCTTCTGTCATTTATAGAAAGTATGACTATAATATACTTCTTCTGTCATTTATAGAAAGT